CAGGCACTCAAAACACCTGCGTTTTATTTTTAAATCTTCTAGGTGTCTGCGGGTCAAATAAAGACAAGGGCAATAACGATTATTCTGTTAAATCTATGGTACTTGACTGCGCAAACACTAATTGATTAGACACCAAAATGATTTGTTTAAAGAGTTTTCCTCCTTTCCAAGTGCAGCTGTTCTGGGCCTGCGTTGGCGTTGCCGGGCGACAGTGGAGTTCCCCAAGTGGGTGTGCATCCGCCCAGCTTGGGTAGGTTGACTGGACCAAGCCCTGCGCATCTGAGGCTCCTGTCTGGGCGATGGCTGATGACTTCTCTCCAACGTCAGAGAATAATATTGTACTAGAGAGCACCGCATCGCTAGTACAATTGGCCCTCCCCCCACCCTTGAGTTTTCCTTACTTTGAGTCACTTTGAATAATGTAGACATGAGGGCCCTCTCTCTCACGCCTTCCTTTCCTTTTCAGTTCTGTTTTTTAACTCTCCATCATCAGAGAGCCACTGTTAATCCATCGCGGGCCTTCAAAAGATGAGGACTGGAAAAAAAAAAATCATGTTCACCGCTGCCCCAAATCTGGAAGATTCATCGTGTCCCCATCGACTCCCTCACAATCATTGGCAGGTTTTCTCCTCCGTTAATATAAAATTCTAACCCACAGAGAAAACCCACTGAAGGTCAGACTACAGAAAGCCAATTTCCCAGGGAGTGAGGCTAACTTTGTCCTGCACCGGGCCCTGCCACCTGTCAATCACCCAGGAGCTAGAAGCCTCTCCCCCCACCCACCAGTCCCACAGCCACTGTGACATCCTTCAGCATTCTTGTCTTGAAGACTGAAGAGCCTTTGCCAAAGTAGGCGACCCCCAGAAAGAGTTTCAACCCAGAAGAATCGGTTGATAGTTCACCCAGAGCCCCAGGAGAGCAGGAGGTTTTCTTCCTTGCCCAGGAAGTAACCAGATAGGCTCTCAGGTCGTCAGTTCTCTGACCGCCACCAAGACGGCTCCAAGCAGTTCCTGGAACTTCATGTTAGGTGGGGTTGGAGAGAACTGGCCGCCCTTCCACAGACATCTTTGGAAATAAGGGGATGGGGTATGAGATGAAAGATTGGGTGGTGCAAAATGCTGGGCTTAAAATCATTTTCGTGTGCAAAACAATGTTTAGGAAGGAAAAGGAAAGAGATTATCTGGACAGACTAATGAAAACCATACAGGCACTAAATATAGAAGCAAAGTTTGAAAGACAGCATTAGAAGCTTTGGTTCCCACTTCCTCCACCCGAATGAGAAATTACTAGTATTCCCCCCCCCAGGTGAAGGGGGGAGGGATTAGGGGGGAATAATTTAGGAAGAGGGTGTCACATTGCATGGAACTGAGAGTTAATTTGTTGTTTTAATTTTTCAACAATACATCATCAGACCACTTGTTTTAAAATTCTTGTCTATTCTAAGCACCAAAAGCAATTTTCTGAATCAATTTTTCTCCAGAGATGGAAAGACTCCAGAGGAAGACGGTAGAACCCTGATGAAAGCATCTAGAATCAAATCCTTCATTCCATTTATCAAAGGTTCTTCTGTAGCCAGATGCCACCCAAATGTCCCTCCCCAGGAGTTTAAGGCTACCCTCTGCAAGCTTCAGAGATGCTGGAGTGCTTCAGAAGCTGTAGCCAAGGGTCTCTAAGCCTGAAGTCCCCAGGCAGGAACATTTGCTGAACCCCAGGACTGCTGGATACCAAACAGAAACTGAGCACCTGATGGACCAGAGAGCCTAGAAACACTTCTTGTGAATGCTCTATATGTTATATCTCTACTGCCCACAAAGAAAACTAAGCCACTCTTAGAGAACCTTGTGTGGCCAACATTTACAAGAATGGCCTTTTTTCCAAGTCTGATGTTGTTTTCTTGCTGACTGATACCTATTTAGCAGAGGATAAATTTCACTTACCTACCCACTCCCAGACACTTAAGACATTTACAAAATAAGCATCAGTGATAGAGTCCATACCTAGCTGAAGGCCCTAGGTTCAAACCCCAGTAGCACAAAAGCTGGTTTCTAACATGAAAATACTGTAAAGAGCATCTAGTTGAGCCTTTAGCCCCTGCTTTTTAAATGCGTGTTTTCATATAATTTTGACATTATTTTTTTCTTTAATTCTCTGCAGTTGCTTAGAACTGAAGCCTTTAAGTATTCATCCACAGAAGTTAATTCTCTTAGCCCTTGGAGTCCACCTATGAGCCAAGCTTTGTGCTGGGCACTCTGAGAAGAAAAGAAGATAACAAAAGGTAACCCCAGTCCCCTAGCATTTGACAATCCCTCAGAGGCAGGGGGGGGGGATCCTTTTTTACAAACCAGGAAATGTTTATGAGAGATCAAAAACACCTTGCTTCTGACTCACCAACTGCAGGAAAAGAGTATTTCAATAAAAGGTGTGAAGTAGAGGAACCCGAGGAGGAAGAGGAGGAGGAGGAAGAAGAAAGCAAGATTTGTGAGCCAAGTCCTGCAGTGTAAGATTGGGTTTGTAAGGAGCAGGGTGTCAAACACTAGAGTGGGCAAGGCCAAAAAGATCCTTGCAGAACTTCCTTTCTCCTTTGGGAACCAAAGCCCCTTGCTGAACAGGCGGAGTTGAGCAACCTGAACCCCACCCTTCTTCAGGTGGTTCCAGAGACTCTGCATGAAGGAGGACTTCCAAGACCAAGTCGCTAACTGACTAGAGGAAGAATAGCACCAACAATCTGTTTGCTAATGTCTTTCATTTGTAAAATGATCCATCTTTCAAGAAGAGATGACCATAAGGGCAAATCGATCATTTCAACGGGATTAAAATAAGGTGACAGAAGCACCTTACTTTAACTCATCCTTTGATCTTATATGAGAGGCAGGTACTACAGGAAAGGCGTTCAAAAACAATAAAGATGGATTTGGCTTCTGAAGCTCAAGCAGTGGATAGAAAATATTTTATGTTTTGGAAAGATGATGAAAAATAAATTAAATTAGTGTACTTTTGATTTTAGTCAGTGTGTCTCCCCTGCCCCCCCCCCGGCAAAAAAAAAGACTTTTTCCTGGGGTGGGGGGTGCTCCAGATTCCTAAATGATCATGACCAAGTGGACAAGAAGGAGGATCCACACGCGTAGGGGGCCTTTCTGATGATGTGATCCAGTAGTTTTAGTCAGTCCCAGAGTACCCACTGACCTTGACTGACCTGGTGTGATCTTGGCGCCCTCGGTGGCAGAGACCTGGGCTAAGGAGATGAGCCCATTTTTGTGCTTTAGCTGTTGGGATTTCAGCCCCAGGCTTCACCATATCAAACTTTTCTCATAGACCCTGCCACCACGACTCAATCCTAGCCTCTCTGAAAAACAGTTACAGGGAAGAAACACAGGCGGTGGGCTCTGTGTTTGTCGCATAGCAGGCCTCAGACACTTTGTTCAGTAGCTGAGCCCTGAAAGCCAGCTCTGAGGCTATCCTCATTGTGAACACCGCTAGCCCGGGGCTGAGGCTCGGCGCTGACCCGGCCGTAACTGCCAAGGGCCTGACAATGGGCACATCTGTCCTTTCTCCAAGGGATAAAAGCACCTAAGCAGACAAGGCTCTGCCTTTTGTTACGGACTTTTTTCTTTCTTTCTTTTGTAAATAAAAGAAAGCCGCGGCATGTGGCGGCCGGGTGTGTGTCCCACACTGGGGGCCTCCCCACGCGTCCCCACCAGGCTGAAGACCCGGGTTCAATTCCGGATTGGAGCGTGACTGTGACAGGGGCGCAATTATGCCCAGAGCTGAATTGATTTTCAAATCTGGAGGCTTCTTGCAGGGACGCCAGGAAGAGGAAAGCGTCCCTGCGGGCCAAGCCGAGACCCGAGCGGCTGCGTGCACCCTGCCTGCGTGGGTACTCCTTCCGAGAGCATCACCCTCTAGGTTCTTTTCTAGGGAGGTTATGGAGTAACTAAGAGACCAGCCCCCAGTATTAACCAGGAAGCCCACCCAAGCACTCTCTTCTGTGCCCTTCACAATCCCCCTAGCATAGTTAACCGAAATGGAGAGCTGCCTTAAAGGGGAGCGTAGTGGAAGAGACCTTCTCAGAGGTCTGGGACAGAGAGGTGTGGCCTCGAGTGGGACTCAAGACACTGAAGGCTCCTCTGCCAAAGCTCGGGTGGATCTAGGAGTACCCGGGAGGGTGATAGGTGCCCTCCTATAGGTCACGCTGACATAGGCCTTTAAGGTATACACCTCCCAAGCCCCTTAGGCCAAGGCATTTAAGGTTGGGGCATGGGTTGGCCTCCAGCGAGCATCCAAGTAATAAAGTGCAGTGGGCGAGTAGGTGAGGGTCAAGACACAGTCCCCGGCTCCTTGCAGGTAACCTGCACCGGGAAATAGCCACTCAGATCCAAGGGCTTTAACTCTCTCACCTAGCTGGCCCACTGTGACAGAAGCCTGGCAAGAGAGTCAGGGAAGAGACAGGAAGGCAGTGAGGAAGACCAACGGGAAGCAAGCCTCCAGGGACGGTGGCAGCGGCTCCAGGTCGCGCTCTGCGCGCGTCCCGTGCACGTGCGCACCGCTCCGGGGCCACCCGGCGCCGCCGAGGAAGCTCACCCCTCCCCACCCCACCCCACCCACCCCCGGCCGCCCCGGGTTCATTTGTACTGGGACGTCACGGAGCCAGTGCGCTGGGACTGAGGGGGCGGGGCCTGAGAGAGCGCATGCGCGCTGCGCCCGGCGGGAGTGAGGGCGGGCAGCGGCCGCGGCGGCGGCTACCGAATCCCGGCCACAGTCTGCAACAGTAACCGAGCCATGGCTCGAGCTGGCGGGCGGCGCGGGCAAGCAGCAGCCGCGGCAGTCGCACGGGCCGCGTCAAGGGAGCAGGGGGCAGCACGATTGTAAGAAGGAAAGGGGCGAGAGGGGGCCAGGCTGGGGGGCTAGGGACACCGCGCTCTCCCAACAGCGCGGGTCCTTTTTGGAAATTAATATTAAAAAAAAAAAAAGCAGAGGGGAAGGTAGGAGCAAGAGAGGAGGAGAGAAGAGACACACAGAGAAAGAGCGAGAGACACAGATCACCACAGTGAGAGGAAGAAAGGCCACAGTCTCCGGCGGCCGATGTGAAGACTGGACTCCGTGCACCCCTCGCCGCCTCTGCCCGGCCACATCGATGTTGCAGCCCGCTCGCCCGCACCACGATGAACGCGCAGCTGACCATGGAGGCGATCGGCGAGCTGCACGGGGTGAGCCATGAGCCGGTGCCCGCCCCTGCCGACCTGCTGGGCGGCAGCCCTCACGCGCGCAGCTCTGTGGGGCATCGCAGCAGCCACCTGCCTCCCGCGCACCCGCGTTCCATGGGCATGGCGTCCCTGCTGGACGGCGGCAGCGGAGGCAGCGATTACCACCACCACCACCGCGCCCCTGAGCACAGCCTGGCTGGCCCCCTGCACCCCACTATGACCATGGCCTGTGAAACTCCCCCAGGTATGAGCATGCCCACCACCTACACCACCTTAACCCCTCTACAGCCGCTGCCGCCCATCTCCACCGTGTCCGACAAGTTTCCTCACCACCATCACCACCACCATCACCACCACCACCCACACCACCACCAGCGCCTGGCGGGCAACGTGAGCGGTAGTTTCACACTTATGCGGGATGAGCGCGGGCTGGCCTCCATGAATAACCTCTATACCCCCTACCACAAGGACGTGGCTGGCATGGGCCAGAGCCTCTCGCCCCTCTCAGGCTCCGGTCTGGGCAGCATTCACAACTCCCAGCAAGGGCTTCCCCACTATGCTCATCCCGGAGCGGCTATGCCCACTGACAAGATGCTCACCCCAAATGGCTTTGAAGCCCACCACCCTGCCATGCTCGGTCGCCACGGAGAGCAGCACCTCACGCCCACTTCGGCCGGCATGGTGCCCATCAACGGCCTTCCTCCGCACCATCCCCATGCCCACCTGAATGCCCAGGGCCACGGACAGCTCCTGGGCACAGCCCGGGAGCCCAACCCTTCGGTGACCGGCTCGCAGGTCAGCAATGGAAGTAATTCAGGGCAGATGGAAGAGATCAATACCAAAGAGGTGGCGCAGCGTATCACCACTGAGCTCAAACGTTACAGCATCCCACAGGCCATCTTCGCACAGAGGGTGCTCTGCCGTTCCCAGGGGACCCTTTCGGACCTGCTGCGAAACCCCAAGCCCTGGAGCAAACTCAAGTCCGGCCGGGAGACCTTCCGGAGAATGTGGAAGTGGCTGCAGGAGCCGGAGTTCCAGCGCATGTCCGCGCTCCGCTTAGCAGGTGAGCCGATGGGCGCGTGGGCTAGATAAGGGACTGAGGGTGGGAGGGAATGAGAGAAGGCTGGGCGCTCTTCGTCCCGCTCCGCCTCCCCTTTCTCTCCTAGACCTGGAAGAGCCAGTTTAGGCAGCCGACTTTCTCCTTAGGGGGCTCAGGGCTTTGGGTTGTGGGAGGCTTTGAAGGCTGAACAAGGCGGCCTCGGTGACTTCGGGGTCGCATTTGTGTTCGGGGACAGAACTGCAGGCTTTTGAGCCACAGGCGACTCTTGGAACCTGGTAGAACATTGGGTGTGTGGTTCTCAGCGGAACATAGTGGGTTTAAGAAGGGACGAAGAATGCCGAAAACTAGCTCGGGTTGCTCAGGGCACATACCCGGCGCCGGGCTGGCGCTACCCAAGCTGCCAGTCAATATTTGGCTGAGCTGGCTTCGGCGACCCACTCTTGCCCTGTTTTATTGCAGCCGCGCGTCCGGGGAACCGCACTTCGATAGGGTGTGTACACAGATTCCAAACCTGCAGGCGATGTATGTATGGCGGGCTGCTTTGGAAGGGTTACCACAATGCGCTGCGCGTGTAACCGGCTGTGGAAAGGAGAGGGACAGAGACAGTGACCAGGAACCTCCCGGTTGAGCCCAGGGATCACTGCGGACAAACTTGCTTTTTCGTTTTCGTGATTTTTTTTTCCATTTAAGTCTCTGTGCTACTGGGTGGGAGTGTGTAAATACCCCCTCCCCACGCGCGCCCAGTCTCCCAGTTCAAAATCCCTAGCCGGCTGTTTGATTTCCGAGCGCTGAAAGTCTCAGCTGCCAAATGCAGGCACCAGGCCTGGCTCCTGTAGTGGGCCAAGAGACCTAGTAGACAGCTGAGCCCAGATGATGAACCGCACCAGGGATTCAGGCGACTCTTGAAGACGAGAGAAGGGGGCAGCCTAGGGGCAGACTCTGTGCCTGAGACCCGGGTGGAGGTTGCTGCATTGATTGACTCCCGTGTCCACGCCCCCCCCCACTCTGCATCCCCCGCCTCAAGTCACACACAGCCTCATCTGAGCCCTGTGCCCAGGTCTGAGTCTTGGTGAAGAGAAAGGTAAACGCTGGAATGAGGGTTTGTTAATTAACTGATCGTTCTCCATTAATTCGTCCCTAGAGAATGAGAGACAGTCAATCCGCTCTGAGCCGAGGGCACTGAGCCGTTTCACGGACTAAAATCAAAGCATGAGGCTGAGCCCCCCTCCCCCCACCCGGTGCCTGCCAATGAGAAGCTGGGGAGAGGCAGGTGCAGACGAGCTTGGGATCCTGGTCAGCGAGGCTACCCTAGTGTTCCCTGCCTCTGGGCTCTAGAGGCCTCCGGTGGTAGGTGCCGCCCTGGTTCAGCCTCTGACCGCCCAGAATTTCGAGCCTCTGCAGCCAGTCCGTTGCTCCAAAGTTCTCAAGGCATGTTCGGGTTAGTGCGCCCAGGGGTCTGGTGAGGCAAAGGAAAAGGGGACTTGGGCCAACCAAACGCCACCGAATGCCTCAAGGTTCCACTATGACTTTGGGTAGCTTTGGAGCCCCCGTGGGCCCACTGAGTCCCCGCGAGGCAGCTGACCTTGCTGCTCTCCCGACTGCTCCACCTTTAGAACCTTCCATCCATTCTCGCTTGAAGCCAGTGCTGCTGACCTTACTGGCAGGTAGTGAAAAGCATGCTCCTTCACAAAAGTCTCATCCCACCACTTGGTCGAGACACCCCAGACACCAGTGACACCCCAGTGGTATTCTGTCACATCCTGGAAGGAAGGACCAACTGATAGGACCTGTGCTGAGTGCCCAGTCCTGAAAACCTAAGCTGTCTATCCTGTGCAAGGCCCTCTGACCTCCAGATAAGAAAACTGAGCTGGGGGAGGGAATGCTCGGTGCTGGGGAGTTCTGTGAAGGAAGACCAAGTTCTAGAACCTTCACACCAAAGGCATGAGTTGGGTGCTGAGTGCTCAGGGGATCCAAAAGGTCATCAAAGGGTGTGTATACACCAGATTCTGTTATTCTTGGCTCCAGGCATGTGGCCTTTTCCTAGAATGTGTGGAAAGTAAGAGGCTCCAGCAGACACCAAACCAAAGGACCCTGGATGTCCTGAGATAGAGTGGAGCACCACCTCTTTCATTTCTGTTTCGGTAATATAAAGGAAAAGGATTGGACTTCAGGGAGGGGGTGGGTGCTCAGGCAAGGTACCCAGAACCATCCATTCTGCCACGGAAGTCGCAGCCTATTTTCTTCCTTCCTTCCTTTCTTCCTTCCTTCCCGCCTTTATTTCTTCCTTCCTCTTTTCTTCTTAAGAGATATGGGTTTCTGGTCGTTGGGATGGTACCTCAGAGATGGAGCCTGATGCTTTGGCATGGCAACTGCAGGAACCGCAGGGCCTGCTCCCCAGCACCAGCCACTGAAGCTTTGCTAGCTGTTGCACTTAACACTAACCCTTCATCTTTTCTCAACCCCCTCTTAAGGCCCGACCGAGTTCCTTCACTCTCCAGTGGAAAGAGTGGTTTCTTCAATTGCCTTCCTGGGCCCTGTGTGTTCCACGTAGCATGTTTGGAGAGTCAAAATCCTCCGCACGTGGCAGTATGTTTGGGGAGGCGCCAGAAGGGTGTATAAATTACAAGCGCTGGTGAAAGACTGGAGGAAATTCTCACCAAATTAACTACCTTTTAAAAATCAATATATGTTGCCTCAATGTAATGCTTGCTGCTGCTCATTAAAACGCAGTGTGACCAGACGCCCTCAGCTTCTGGTCCCGAGTGGGGTGGGGAAGCTAAGCTGGGTGCCCCGCCTCTGATGTGGGCGTCTATCAAGACAGGAGGAGATTAGCTTCCAATTAAATACTCCAGAAGGCTTTGGCCCCTTGGCAGCATGGGAAAAGACTGCAAGAGACACCCACAAGTGAGTGGACTCTAGCAGTGTGCACCCAGGAGGTGGTATCGCTCAGGTCCTCAGCCCAAGCAAATATATGCTGCTGGGCACGCAGACCCTGCCAGAGGTGAAGAGACCTCCAGGGCCCTACATGAAGATGGCCTGCCCTTCAACACCCGGTACTTCGCCCCCTTGTGGTCGGGTATTTGCCCCTCGGTGTTAGTGGCGTACCTGAACTAGGAGGCGGGAGGTGGGCGGGGGGTGGGGGGGTTCTACCTGGAAGTGGCCCTGAGAAAGTCTTGTGCAATCCAACCTGGGCCGTGTTTGCTGTGAGTGGCCTTGCTGATTGATAACTTGGTTGACTGATAACTGGCCCTGCACACGTCCATTTGCTTTTGTGTTAATATTTATCCCGACCGGTGACATTTCAAGTGTCCGGTGCTGCCCCGGCAGCGAAAGCCAGGCAGGAGTCCTAGGCTGGACTAGGGCTGGGAACCGCATTTGTTCAACCCCTGAAGAATTCTGGGTGGAGGGGGGGAGTGCAGGACTGGGCATGAGAGATGCCAGGGCTGGAAGGGTTCCTGGACTCCAGAGTGGGAAGAGAAGGCAGCAGCGCCACAACGATTTCCTGGAGCCCTGTGCTGTGGCTCTCCAGTGGTGCAGCTGCTCCTAACCCTCTGCCGCTTGAACAAAGGGCCGGCAGGGCGCGACCGACCGTGTCTGCCTTGGCGGCTGGGGTCAAGGCCTGGGAAGGCTTTCTCCCAACGTGGCTAAGGGATAACCCGTTATCTGGAGGCAACCGAGAGTCCTAGAGCCTCCAGGGATGAATGGTGGGGGTGAACTGGGGTAGTCGAAACACACACACACACACACACACACACGCACACACACACGCACACACACACACACACACACGCACACACACACACACACACACACCAGCCGGATGTGAAGTCAACAGGACTTAGGGACAGTCACCAGAAGAAGGCTCTGAGCGACATCTTTCTCACAGACTCTGTCTCTTAGGTGGGGCAATAGTCACCTTTGTGCAATTTTCGTTGGGGTAGCTACATTCCACGAGGAGAGGAAATGCAGTGAGGTTGAGAGGTGCCTGTGGCGGTAATTAGCGATTGTAGTTTTTGTAGCGGGCTAAGACTGCTTTCTGAGGCTTAAGGGGAGCTGGTGGCTTCGGTCTGGTGATCTCGTGGCCGGCACAGAAGGGCATCTATCAGAGACAAAACCCCACGACATGTTCAGAAGGTGCTTTCCTAACCCCTCCCCAAAATGCAACCTGGAGATCCTTGGGTAATTCTGAGTGTCACCCCCGGAATGCCCAGAGTTGGGGTACTGCGGTCACTCCAGACCCAGACACTTAGAACTGACAGAGGACGTTACCAATAATAGTGCAAGGTAGGCCGTAGCAGTAAAGCCATCCAAAGCCTACAGCGTGACTATCTTAGAAGCTTTTAGCCCCCTGTGAGCTCGGCAGAAGCAGAGAGTACTGGCTTTGCTCCCGGAGGGAACCTAGGTTCGCTTTCCTGAGCTGGGGTGACTGCGCAGAGGACGCTGCGCGCGCCCCCTAGTGGCTACCTGGCGAGAGAACAGGAGATAGCTGTTAAGCTGGCTGAGGCTTTGTTTTTAGAGCATCGTTGTCCAAAAGATTTTCTAAGCAGTATTTTGATAGGAAAAAGGTGTGGAGGAGGAAGAAGATGCCTAACAAAAGCCCCATCGAGGAAGACACGGTATCCTTCCCTACCAATTACACCCGGAACTCTAGCCTACCCACAAAGGGTGAATGCTTCATTTACATGCCCGAATTATGCTCTCTGACATATTTTCCCTAATGAGAGCAATGAGTGCAGAAGTGACTCTGGCAGTCTGAAGTCGGAAGCTGGGACCAGTATAGTCGGCACAGAAAAACAGTTTCCTTTGTTTTGCTTGCCTCCCAGAAAACTGGCCTAAGTGAGTCAAAAGGCAGCCCTCAAGCCTTAGGCATGGAAGCCTTTGTTTTGCCCTCCCGTGGGGTGAGTGAAAGGGGCTGTAGGAGCCTGCAGGCATAGAACCCTGGCTCAGAGTCAGGACCCTGGACAGAGCCCCACCGCCTCTCAGCCTAAGGCTGGACTCTCAAA